TGTTTGGGAGCTAAGAAAGGTTAGGTTATACGGCGATAGTCCCTGTGTACAACAAACCCAGTCTCAGATTGCGTCTGGGGAGCTGCAGGGTGTCCCTGGTGGAAGGGGTGAGTTGAGGTGTCTGGGAGGTGAGACAGACACCTCATGTTCATATGGTGTATGTTCGTGTGTTAACGGTTCCGCCCATTGCTCTGGGTGCGTGGTCTATGGCCCTAGTGCTATGGCAGCCACCTGAGTATTATTATTATTACAACACTTACATTATTCAGTGGAACCTCAAATAGGGGACCCTCCGAGAAAGGGACACTTGTTTCAACCCCATGCTAATACATTATTTGACCTCTGACCTCTCTACAAGGGACAAAATCGTTGGCCCCACGGTGTCCCTTGTTAGGAGATTCCACTGTATACCACTGTCAATAAAAGATTTTGAAGCAATTATAATACAATGTACTCCCTGCTAAAAAGTAGTCTGTACGTATCTGTCTGTCTCAACAGTATGAGGAAGCTAAAGGAGCTGATACAGAAGCAGATTGACCTGGACCGTTGCTACCAGGAGCTGTTCTTTGAGAACCTTCCCTACAAACCAGCGCACCCTGAACCTGCTGCCAAACTACAAGTGGAAAAATCATTTCTTCAAAATGAAGGGGGGATACAGGGATGGCTTGAAGCACCAAAAAGGAAGAAACAAGGGGTCATTACACAGCAAAGATGCACAAGACTACATGACACCATCCCTATATCTTTGTGTTATTGTTCTCAAGTAAAGTTTAATATAAGTCAAAGATATAGGGATGGTGTCATGTAGCCTTGTGCGTCTTTGCTGTGTAATGACCCCTTGTTTCTTCCTTTTTGGTGCTTCAAGCCATCCCTATATCCCCCTTCATTTTGAAGAAATTTTCATTTGTTTCCACTATTTTTCGTGCCTTATGACAACACTGCATTTTCAGTCACTCTTATGTTCATGGGTGTTGTATATAGAGATAACTGTTGAAAGCAGAAGCTAATGGGCTGCTCCTACTTGAAGCAGGGTGTATGCGTAGTGTCTCCAACAACGATGCAATTAGGTTGTGGCACATGTGGTGGGGGTGGTTTCATAGGCAGGCTTCAGTAATCTGATAGCTATAACCTGGGGGACAAAGAATGAAGGCGCTGGGCAAGGCCCGCGTAACACGGCGCACACTGCCTGTACAAATCAACAGCAAAACGCAAGCTAGCGAGTTAAACATGTGTATACTGACTTACAGAAGGCACTGGGGGATAAGGGTTAGTCTGGTTCACGCAAGCACGAAATGCGCATTGGGGAAACGCCCTCCTCGGCGCATGCGGCTCGCTCACTGATGCTGAGTTAGGCGTTGTCCAGTGACTACCGTGGAAGAGCTCAACGATCTACCGTAGTGACTTGCGGCAAGAAACAAGCGATCACTTGATATGTGTGCACACCTAAGGAAAATGTGTAGACGTTCTGTGAAAAAATCAACGCTTCAACTGCTTCCGGTAAGGAGCTAGCGGGTCTGAAGAAGAAGAAGATGAAGATTATGATGATGACACGAAAATCGCGAAACATCGCGTTGGGGCATATGTATAGCTAGGTATTGGCCTCTAGACTATAGCTAAGCCACGGTGATTCATTCTCGCTGAGTTTTGAGGCGCATTGTACGTGGATCACGTGAGATTTTTCACTCGTCTCATCCCTATATAGAGCGTCTACCGACGCTCTGATAGAAGTCTGTTGCCATGGCTTACATAATCAAAAGCATGAATTAACAGAATATTATGCATAATTATATAAAAGTAGCTATCATAATTATTGAAGTCTAATTGGGGACTGTCACACGTGTAAAGTACACACTCATGTCAATCCGAGTAGCTTGATGTAGTTGGAGTCACTGTCCAGGAGGTCAGTGAGGGCGTTGACCAGTGTGGCAAACTTTGGTCTCTCCTGAGGACTGGCTGACCAGCATGAGGTTACAACTGACCATCTGTTGAAATAAACTGTTACTGAGTAATGTAAGCGCTAAGCGATTGCACGGATAGCTGTTATTGAGATTATGTATAATAGCATACGCTATGGGCGCCACGCGCCACTTAAATGGCGCGCGCGTAATTGCTCCGCAACGCTACGCGGAACTTTAGCGGCGCGGAATTATGTATTACGCGAATGGGTATGGCAATATTCCGCGCATGCGTATTTCCGCGTACGCGCGGAGAAATTTCCGCAATACTACGCGGCGCGCAAAGTGTTAATGATGCCGTTTTCATCAATCAAGAGGATGATCCATGCTTACTCACCAACATGCCGTGTTGTACTAACTCTTATGGTATTTACATGCAATTCCTGGGAGCCAAGTCGCGATGAACAAACTTATAGTTAGCAAGGTAAGCCATCCCTTTCGATATCTGGCTAGGCAAGTCTTCCTGGCAGCTTCAACCTATACGGAGCATTTCAGCGAGCACTAAGGTTACGGGATACTCACGTGGGGGTTCCTACATGTTACACAAACGTTTTTATTATCAGCGTTTTAACCACGCCAGCACCGCTTTTTTTTTATGCACAAGCTGTATACTAACGTCGCACCAGCGGCAGAGCTGACACTATCGCTGCTGTAGGCGGGTTCACATCTTACCAAACTTCTCGTCGAAAATCTCGGTTATGAGCTGTTCCAGCGCCGTCATTTTCGCGTGAGAGGTACTCCTCCGTGGGCCCTAGCGTCCTACGGAAGCTTTTTTTCCCATCCGGTTTGAGATCTCTCAAAACAGCGGCTAGCGTGATAAAAACGTGCTATTTCGCGTGGCACTCATTTTCATAACTGACGGAACTGTGCCGCTAGGGTGCTTTATTTGGCATCGGAGTCAACGTTTATGTGGCTAAAATCGGTCTTGTAGGTTTGCGAGAAACAGTTCATACCCAACCGGCCCATGCGGATCAATGGTCGTCACGTCATCGCGTAGACTACGCGCGCGCATTAAATCGCGCGAGTATACAAATCGCTGCGCTTTTCTTACAGTACCATTCGACATGAATGGCATAATGATCAGGGGCGTCTCTTCATCAAATGAGAGTCCAATTAGTGGCATGACATTGGGGTGGCTGAAAGTGAGCATGAGCGAAACTTCTTTCAGTAGCCTCTCCTTGTCAGTCACCGCAACTAAAGCTGTAGCTACATTATATAAAAACCGACAAATCAATTATCTTTCATAAAATTACAGGGGAACCTCTCCAGTTTAGACACAAACTTGATGGAGAAAAGTGAGGTTTCCGTATTTCAGGGGTATAATATTATAGCTAAAATTGAATACAAGAATTCTTATCTGAGAAAGAAGAACACGTCTTTATTTCTTACAGATGGGTTCCACTGTGTATTAGCTAATACACCTTTGCCAGTTTTCATGGCAACTAGCATGTTGCCCTCGTTTGCTCTGACGTATCCTCGGTATATACCAGGCCTGTATATAATTATTGTGATCAATATGTACATGTTATTTACAATAATCATAGTGTAACGACGCTCGACCCGAGTCCAGATGTTATTCGACTGACTTACAAACACGCATGCGTAGTAAATATGAATAATGTATGAAACTAAATAGTCAAGTTTTCCAGCTTTGTTACATCACATCACCCCTTAGAAAAGCTCGACCACGAGCTTGTCATTGCTTCAGGTTGTCCATTCGCTGCATTCAAATTAACTCCTGCTTGCCATTTCATCCTCCACGTACACTGTCCAATCACTGTTCACTATTGCATCAATCCACGTTGTCCAGCACAGTGGCTTGTCCTCAGGCTACATAATCGGCTCTCAACAGCCCCCGCGTGCTAGGCCCTCTCCTCTCCGGCAGCAGGAGTCAGCCCCCGCGTGCTAGGCTCTCTCCTCTCCGGCAGCAGGAGTCCGCCCCCGCATGCTAGGCCCTCCATCTCTGGCAGCAGGAGTCCGCCCCCGCGTGCTAGGCCCTTCCCTCTCTGGCAACAGGAGTCTGCCCCCGCGTGCTAGGCCCTCCCCTCTCTGGCAGCAGGAGTCTGCCCCCGCGTGCTAGGCCCTCTCCTCTCCGGCAGCAGGAGTCCGCCCCCGCGTGCTTGGCCCTCTCCTCTCCGACAGCAGGAGTCCGCCCCCGCGTGCTAGGCCCTCTCCTCTCCGGCAGCAGGAGTCCGCCCCCGCGTGCTAGGCCCTCTCCTCTGGCAGCAGGAGTCCGCCCCCGCGTGCTAGGCCCTCTCCTCTCCGGCAGCAGGAGTCCGCCCCCGCGTACTAGGCCCTCTCCTCTGGCAGCAGGAGTCCGCCCCCGCGTGCTAGGCCCTCTCCTCTCCGGCAGCAGGAGTCCGCCCCCGCGTGCTAGACCCTCTCCCCGGCAGTCCCAAATGCCTTTTTCACTCCGGCTTGCTCCAAACGCGTCACGCTAAGCCGCTTTCTCCGCTGGTCCTGCCAGCTACTGTACATCGAGCCTCCTGAAACGATAGCTGTACACACTGTCACTGACTTTGCTGACGTTCGTGGACGCGTCCCACGTGGTTGCTATCGTGCGATTGCTTCGCTCGTTCGGCACTCAGCATGTTATAAGAGTGCTTAGAGACAGCTATCCGAGGTTCCTGGGCGCCAGCCGCGCCGAGGCAACGGCGATTGGCCCAGGTCTCGCTGAGACCTCCACTGTAACGACGTTCGACCCGCATGCGTAGTAAATATGAATAATGTATGAGACTAAATAAGTTAAGTTTTCCAGTTTTGTTACTTATGACCAGCTGCTTCAGTGTGACAGCACACTAACCTGGAAGAGCACGCAACTCCAATGTGTTCGCCTTACTGTCACTGTAATCAAATGACCTACAGTAATAAAAAGTTGACTATAATATATATTAAACAAGTGTTTGCCGAATCCAATGAAGAGTGATGCGAAGAATGTTTATGAACATCCCAGGACTCAGTTACATTTCATGTTAATTGGTCTTAAGAGGTTATTGATATGCAAATGTTCAAAACATTTTCTTAGGAAAAGATTGTTGCAGACCTGGTATAATAGGGGGTGTTTTCCGAAGCCATAATTTACTAATTCTCCCTCTTTTTGGCAACTATATACTGCTAGCTATACACTGTGTAGCAGGATTATGGTAGGGAGAAAATTTTCACTGATTGGTAGCCAAAATAGAATTTTGCGGGACACAGTTGCCGGTTCTATAGCTACACAATTTCCTCGCTCACGAAATTCACCGCGGCGACTTCCTTTCTTTTCCAACTGCTTATTGGTATCCATCAATGTGTTGTTGGGACTTGTATTTATTTCACTCACGAAATATTAATGGAGTGTTTTGATTTCCTTAGCCACTGTCTCATCACACAGCCGCCTGCTAAACACAACAGTACCAGAATAACTGCCAAACAACCGAATGTGATAGCCAGCAGTTCATCAGCACCAAACCGACAGGAAATCCCTTCACATACACTGTTTTCTTCTGTAGAGATTGAAATACAAGTAGAGAATCAGCAAATACAGTATAACTAGTAGGCGAATGCATGGCATTTTTGGCGAGCGGGAGCGAGCACACAATGACCGTATCTGCACGAGCCTATTTACTACTTGAACCTTAGAACCACGAAGATTGGAGAGAGGTATATACAGCCTCGGTCAGGTATCGATGAGTGCAGCGAATGCCAGCGAATAGATAGATTTCGCATCGATATGACAGCTAAGCAGCGTGTAATAAAGAATAACCCTATCACGCAAGCGACGCCGATACAGACGAGCCTCTCTCTGCTCAGGAGTCTCACCGGCACGACGTTCTCTTTCCCTCTCTCTTCGACGACGAAGGGCATCTTCCCTGGACTGATCCATGATTGCGAGAGTACGGAGCTACACACACACGTAGCTAGCTACATACGCTGTCAGGCAGGCAGCATGTGAAAATTTATAAATCCTTTCGGATAAAAAGAAGCGCGTAATCCTGGAGCATGCGCAGTTTGACGACGTACGGCCGTAGATATGACCGTGCACGCAAATACGCCGCAATGTTAAATTTTCGAGTACGCGTGAATATAACGCCTACACCAACCGGTATAAGCAAAACCACTTTTTTGCCTATAAGTAAAGCTTCCCATCAGAGCTACCTGCTGGTACCTTTCTTGCCTCCTAGGACGCCTTCTCGCCAGAAAAGAAACTATTTCTCTGTAGCGGTAGTCAGTGAACGGAGCAGCGGACACGGACGCTCACGGCGGGGGTGTACGGAAATATTGTACACACCCTTTTCCCCCGCGAAACTAGGCAACAAAGATGCAGCGACTACCAGTCACTTTCCTTTACTCCGCACACGGGCACAAAGGTTCCTGAAGAACTTGGAGTGGTTGCTGAGTAGATCATCTAAGGTGCCGCCTTTAAAAATACGACAGCCTAGTGTGCACGGCTCAAGACAGACGGGAGCCGGCAGCTGGCTAAGCTGGCCTGTTAACTGTCTAGTTTAGAATCCAGCATCCATAGCACACACGGGCCGGAGTTTTCACGGTAAACACGATCGAACGACCTGTCTAACATGAGTGACAGCACGACGGTACATGCAGCTGACGCAAAGAAAGTCAAAGCGATACCTCACTTACACCAAGATCTGCCACGACAGGTTCGGCCTGAAGTCTATTCAGCCCGGTAGGACCGATAGAAGTGTTCGTCTGCTGTCAAACTGCTCGCTCACACAGCATCTCTCTGGTTGCTAAAAATTTCCCGGGAAAAATCCCGTAACGTGACGTCATATTCGTGCGCGGACAAGAATACGGAAAAATTTATTTCGCGTTTTGTATAACCCCGCGGGCCCGCGTTTGAAAAATCGTAACTTTTGAAGGGTTTTCCCCAAAATATACAAAAATAAGCGGTGTATCAAGCACATTTCAAGCTTTACAACGATACAAAAAACGCTACTTCACAAAAATGCGGCGTAAGGTTGGTTTTTGCGTGCACGGTCACATATGCTTATGTATGAGGAAAATTCCGCGCCTTTCGTACCACTATGTTAGCTCGCTCCCGCTCGCCAAAGCGAGCTAACCTAGTGGTACGAACGGCGCGATTTTTCTATTTATTATATACGACCGACCGTACGTCGTCCAACTGCGCATGCTCCAGGAATACGCGCTTTTTTTTATCCGAAAGGATTAAAAATTTCACATGCTGCCTGCCTGTGGAGGCCAGTGATGATGTCGTGCGTATACATGTGGATATAGTCCGGGGAAGATGCCCTTCGTCGTCGAAGAGAGTGGGAAACAGAACATCGTGCCCGTGAGAATCCTGAGCAGAGAGGCTGGTTTGTATCAGCGTCTCTTTCGTGATAGGGAACGCGCCAATGTTTACACGCTAGCTACCTAGCTGTCATATCGATGCGAAATATAGCAACTCTCGTCTATTTGCTGCCATTCGCTGCGCTCTTCGATACATGACCGAGGCTGTCTATACCTCCTTCCAATCTTCGTGATTCTAAGGTTCAAGTTGTAGGATGGCTCGTGCAGATGAGTCCTTGTGAGCTGAAGCCTGTGTACGAGCAAGAGCTACATGTGCTGCGGAATCTGAGGAAACGCAACAGGCAAGGCTCCAACAGATCCGAAGCTATCAGACAAGGCGAATTACGCCGAGTCTGCCGAGGAGAGAGAGGGTCGACTACAGTTCCTACACAGGAATCAACTTTTTGCCCCATGCACACAATCGTTAGATCGCTCCCGCTCGCCAAAAATGCAGTGCAACCTAATAGTATTTATGTTGTAGTTCGCACTCTTAAAGCATTATTGCACTAACCCTCGGCGAACTGCGCATGCGCGGTACCGCTAATGATGGGCTGGGCTATTGGCGTTTACTCGCGGAGAGTCTGACACGGGCTAGCTACGGTAGTAGATAGCATTCGGGAGTCGATACACAACCTTCGTGTGGATTCCTATGCCTCGAAGGTACACAGAACAAGCGGATCAGGTCGAGGTGAGCCAGCCTAGTGTTGATCGCATCTTGTATACGCATGCGCACCGCTTATTTATGGGTTGGGGCACGCATCGCGGTCCGCGACCGTGCTAGTTTGTTGCTCTCGAAGGCAGTCGTTTCAGCAAAATCGCCATTTTAGTTTTTTAGTCCATGTACCGCTAAATCTGTTGGTATGGCTCGTAAGCCACCTCGTAGCCTGTAGTGCGAGAATAGCCGTAAACAGACAGACACACACACAAACACACACAGACACACACAGCGACTACAGTAACCCTTGCTGTGCATGCACGCCGAGGGTTAATGAAAAGCACTAAAGTGCAAACCCTCGGCAAACTGCACATGCGCGATACTGATGGGCTGGGCTATAAATTTAATATCACTAGTAGCCCACTGAAAGTCTTACAAGGGGTAGCCACAGCAGTAGATAGCATACGGCAGTCGATACACAACCTTCGTGACTCCTTGTGCCTTCAAGATGCACAGAGCAAGCGGACCCGGTCGAGGTAAAGCCCAGTGCAATTATGCAGTCGTTTCAGGAAAAACGCCATTTTATTTTTCAGGCTCGTGTACTTCTGAAGCCGCTGGTATCGCTAATAGGCCACCTAGTAACCTGTAGTGCAAGAATAAGCGTCGACAGACAGAGAGACAGGCAGACAAATCAACTATACAGTAACCCTCGCTGCACATGCGCGCCGAGGGTTAACAAAGCACAACTAGGCGCAATCTACAATGCTCAACAATATATACATACGTAGCAACCTGCAAAAAAAGTAATTAGTGAGTGACACTCACTACAGAAGATGTTTTCGTCCGACCAGTTTCCACTGGAAAGACAAGTTCGTGACGTATCGTTGTTGTGAAAGTGATGACTGTCATTGCACTCATAAGAAATGGTAGAATTGTACGGTGTTGTGATGGACAGGTTTGATATTCCTCCATTCTCTATTTCAGGAGGATAACCACAGTCAACCTCTGTATCATCTGTATAGGGGTACATATTTACAGGACATGTAGCTAAACATTTTGTTAAACTTTTTAGATGATTTCACAAACTCAAAAATCTCTGAGGTAAAGAATTAGACATGTGGTAAATTTTAATTCTGGGCTCTACGTAACATACTTAACTCATTGTTAAGTGACCAGATGCAATGCCTGTGTGTCCCAGATCAAAGCTGGGAGCTGCAACAGTTTTATACAGCTAAATTTAGTAAAGATGGAACCAATTAGATTTACATTTTCAGTAGCAGTTTCTATATTTAGCCCTTACACACCCTCTAAGTGAACAGATACCACTGATTGCAATGCCTGCCAGTCCCAGCTCAAACCTTGTGAGCTGAAGCCTGTGATATACTCTCCATAGTCACATATCAATGTGCCATCTTCTTATGTTCGTCTTACCAATGATGACATTGTACGTCATCCTTAGGACCGGACTAGGGCACATCTGGATCAGGACCATAAAGTATGGCCCTGGATTGACTGGTGGGTGCAGAGTCACATTGCCCAATGCAGAAAAGTTGTAGCTGTGTGTAGCAGAATCCTCCAAACACGGCATCTCATTGCAATGAAAGAGGACACTCATGTCGGGCTCGTATCGCAGTCCAGCCTGAGTGTACTCTGGACTGACACCACAGTGACCAGCATTCACGAACACGACTGCAGTTGGAAGTGTGACGTCCTCTCCACTTCTGGCAGTTATGTACTCTGTGGTGTCATCATACGACCGAGCAGTTCCTAATGAGAAGGAGCGAGGGAAGTGGAAGAAGGAACAATGTGTACAATTGTTAGTTGTTGCCCACAATAGAGTCTTATTTCAAGCCACAAGATTTGGATTAAGGAGGTAGCAGTGATAAACACCTACCACTGAGTGTATAGGCAGAAGGAGAGCGAGAGAGACTAGCAATGAAAGTCTTGTGAAACATTGTACATAATACATGTATATACAATTCACATACATCCTCTTACCATGGACTATGACACAGCCAGCAATGACGACGCGTTGCTCATTATCGCCCTCCTTTGCTACACAAGCATAGAGTCCTTCGTCCTCTGGCTGTATGTTTGTGATGGTCAGTCGGTTTGTCTCAGCCAAGATCCTGTAAGACAATTCTTGATGAAAACATTTCGTGAACATTAATAAGACCGTACTGTGACAGTAAGCCTTAGGTCTTGAGCCTGGCTCGCTAGAGCCAATGCAATCTGACATGACGAAACAGTTTTGCAATATCGGAGGGCCAAACGCAACAAGAATTTTGGTTGCAGTATGCAGATGCATCAAAGATGTATATACCAGTTGTTTACTGCTGCCCCCGGGTTACCATAATGTGATGACAGCATGCATCAGTTACTAGACATCGTATTTTCCCACAGAAAATGTGCTATGGCCCACAAGTCAAAGAGACTACACCAGGCAGCACTTTACTTTCAGAATATTGTTTTAATATCCTTTTACAACAGCCACACCCACAACTGCATCATCAGTATACAGGTGTGCTATCATTCCTAGAATTCCATGGTCATTAGATAATGTGTGACAGTGTTTACCTACACACCTTCCTTTCAAAACCGTTAGGGGACGGAGCTAGTCAGAGAGGGCACACGGTTTATTAACCCTCGGCGCGCATGCGCAACGAGGGTTACGGTAGTCGTTCTGTGTGTCTGTCTGTCTGTCAGTTACCACGGTTGTCATTCTGTGAGTCTGTCTGTCTGTCTGTCTGTCAGTTACCACGTTTTGTGGCACCACGCGCAACAAACAGGCCAAAAATCGATACCAACGGGTTCAGCGCTACACTGGCTTCATTTTAAAAGTGGCGATTTTCGTAAGTACCGCGTTCAAAAGTTATGGCGTGAAAAGCAAGTGAACAAGCCAATATGCAAATTAGCACGGGCTTACCTCGACAAGGTGTGCTTGATCTGCGTAAGTTGGAGGCGCAAGACGTCACAACGAAGGGCGTATATCGACTCCCGCATACCATCTACTACTGTAGCTAGCCCGTGTCAGACTCTCCGTGTGCTATCTACTAGCGGGAGTCCACGAGTAAACGCATACTACGGCCCAGCCCATCAATTAGCGGTATCGCGCAAGCGCAGTTCGCCGAGGGTTTGCACTTCAGTGCTTTTTCATTAATGAAGGTACACTGCTACACACCTTGAATGGTTGGCCTGCACATTTGCTACCATGTCACTTCCATTGGAAGGGTAGAAATTCCAGCCACCAGAGAAGTCAACTTCGACATCTCGGAGGACGTGACACTCCAGAGTCTCTTCACTGCCCTTGGGAACATCTGCGAGGGAGGGGGTACAACATCTTGTGACAGATGTATATAGGACCCACTGATGCTGTATACAGTGTATGTGTAGTAGAGTACTCTAGCATTTCAATTTACAAAAACTTACTCAGGGATATGCACCGGCACTCTTGGACCCGCCGTTATCCCATGGCTTTTACAGCTGGGGTGTAGGGATAAAAACATGCTCCCTCCGGGTGCTTTATCATGACAGCACTACGATTTTCAGGGAACCAAAAGCTGACTATTATACATAAGTATTCGCTGTGGGAGCACATACAAAATTTGTCTTCTCTCTGCCAAATTGCATTAACTTTTTAATGTATACATACATGTCTTCACAGGCCAGCTTCTACCCTCCGTAAACAACTGGTCAGAGTCAAAGACCCAGTTCCTCCTCTCAAACAAGCCAACGTTCTCTACTGCATTCCTTGCAAGACCTGCTCTAAGGTCTACGTTGGCCAGACAAGCCGCCTGTTGGAAATGCGTCTCAGCGAGCACAAGGCAGCACTGAAACATGCGAAGACTGATGTGTCTGCTGTGGCTGAGCATGTTTGGAAATTGGGCCATCGAGTATATATACTTCAAATCTACCACAATCCTTCATGAGAACAACCAGTTTCGAAGATGTGCCCTGGAGTCGTGGCACATTCAGAGACATCCCAGCTTCAACAGGGAAGGGGGGGCCCTTCCACCTGTATCGCTGTTTGCACTGAAGTGTGTTTCTTTCTTTTTCTATCCTTCATCTTTTCGCACCCCCACTTTTATTTTATTTTTTGTGCCCTTTATTTAATTTATAATTAATATTTTGACCTTTGCAAACCCAGCTACCTCGCTATTTCATTTTCATTCTTGCCTCCTGTTTCCTCTCTTAGTTACAGTGGAATTTAATTTTCAACTTTTTGCCACTGATGAGGACTGCAGAGCAGTCGAAACGTTTGGGCAAAAAAAGTTTTCTGACTAGTGTTAGTAGGTAGAATTCATAGGGTATACATGTGTATGTACAATGTGTGTGTATGTATGTATATATAATGTGTGTATGTGTATATATGTACAATGGACATGTGTATGTATTATGCTTACATATAACTTCACTGCCGCTAGCACCGCAGATCAGCCCTTCGTCGTTACTCTCTAATCCATTTATTACCGATACACAGTTGGTGTAGCTCGGTCTCTCCTCACAGTTGACTTGTGCACAGCATCTCCCGAGAAGAGCTGGCAGGAGTAGAATTGTCCAGAGTAGACGGAACTGTAATCTGATAGTATATCTCAGCTGCATGCTTTGGGGCTGCATTGTGGGAGAGTTACGCTCACAATAGTGATGTCACTAGAACAACCAAAGCAGTTCTTTGCTAGCAAATCATAAAGTGTGACCTGGTGGATGCATTGTCAAGTACCGGTTTTATAGGAATTCGGAAACATCCAGGGTGGCTATTAAATGTGCAACACCACTTTTGATAACGGCCTAAACAACTTCAGCAACTCTATGAACATGCTCTAAGTACACAAACCCGCAACACGAATGCATTGCTGCATGGTAGGGGATTTTTCATGTGGCTGGCATTTGCAGCAAAACGAAACTTTTCGCAGGAAAAACCACAGTTTAGAGAAACTATTTCTGCCAAATAAGGAAGGGAACGCCGGCCATACTTTCCATAGAACCCAGGGAAGCATGATGTGCCCTATGTATGTAGCTTTTGTAGTAGTCTTGTGCAACACTGGGGATGAATGGAGAGTTGTGATGTTTCATCAGAGAGATGCCACCTGCAGTTGTTGGCCAGCATGTCCAGCCACACCACTATAGCCAATCTATTTCTGAGCCAGCTCCCTTGTCTATCAGAGCGTCGGTAGACGCTCTATGTAGGGATGGCACGGGTCATATCTCACGTGATCCGCGTAAAAAACGCTTCAAAACTCGGCGAGAACGCCTAGCTATGGCTTTAAAATGCACTACAAGTCACTCACCGGGCCCATATCTACCTATACATATGACCAAAAGTACATACATACCTGCAATTCTCAAGACAAGAATCCTCTCTTACGCGATTTCACAATTTTTGTGTCATCATAATTATTCTTCATCTTCTTCTTCTTCTTCTTTAAATGCGCTATCTCCTTTCTGGAACAAGGTGATGCGCCGAACTTTTCACTAAACCTGTCCGGTGATGGTGAAGATGTGCATCGTCGGTATAAGCAATCTTTGTTTTCTTGCCGCCAAGTGCTACGAAAGATCAGTGGCAGACAACACAGCAGACACGCCATTCTCACCCGTGTTTCAACTGTGCTGCTGAGTCTGTTTACCACTGTCGAGTCGAATTTTCTCTGATTTTCTTTGTTGGACACACGTCGGGTCCGTACACTGCAGTTGATCCTTTTGGACTAGCTGCATCAGTCTTGTTGGTAAGAACCAGCTATTGTGTGTAGCTATCTACCATCCAGTTCATTGCGAATTCTCTTTCTTGGTTCCCGGATCCCCACAGCACTCTGTGTCTATTCGCCGTGGCCGTGCTGGATTTCGTCTTTTTGATCAGAAGTAGCTAAGTGTAGAAGTAAGTGTAGTTAATATGACGAAAAAAGGTCGTGTACCATCCCGTTATACTCCTAGCTCTGTACTCTACTGGCCCCTGCTGCTACCAACTTTTATTCGTGGAGTTGGGGCCACATTTATACGCAATTTCTTCTGAAGGTAACCTTTGCAAAGTTGTCTGCATTCCCTC